GCCTTGCTCGATTTCGACACGCGCACACGTGGACCTACTACCGCGCTTGTACACGTCTGTACTATGACGGGGCGTCGTGAGCTCTGGCCGTTACATCTCGACCGCGATCTAGTACAGCATATAGTGTCGTTGGCGCTTGCGCCGGGTGGGTTTGGGGACAAGCAACCAAGGACCAAGGACGCGACTCTCGTTCTTGGTGTTCCGCTGTAATAACTAACTTCTTCACGTTCACGCTCTTTCGTTCTCCTCGCTCGCGCCCTAGGACTCTCGTGGCCACGTCGCGTGTTGACTCCCCGCTCGCGCGCACGGTTCGCTGGCCGTGTGTTAGCCTCACTGGGTCGAGAGCACTGCGTCGTTCGCATCTAGTTTCCGTGGTTCGCGAGCACACCCGGCTGTTACAGTCGCCCGAAAGCCTCTACCACTTCCCCCTAGCTACCTAGTATACGACCCCACGAACAACCCTTGTTTTAGCACGTGACCACGTTTCGCGTTCTACTACAAAGCGGGGCTGACCAGCCTGAACAATGGGGTTTTGGTGAAGGGCGGTGGTGGAGTTCGATGTGCGTCGTTCTCTGCCTTCCCAATAGTGGTTGAATCGGCCGTTTTACTGTATTAACACGAAATCAACTACTACCTTTTTGGGTAATAGAAGTCCACATAAGGCATATCACGAATGGTACCGGTACCATTCGTGATATGCCTTATGTGTCTACGGCCGTAGACGTGTGAGTAACTAGTGCCCCATAAGCGGAATTATCAATCAGATGCGTTTCAATATGCAACCTGTCCAGCAAGACATGTGAACGCGAATGACAACGCCAGCGGATGCGACGGTGCGGGTCCATTAGAGTTAAGAGCAGGAGCGCGGAATGAAAGGGGGAGTCAAGGGATCTCTATTCATCACTGATTATGGACCTCCGATAAAAGACAGCCACTTCCACTGCTCGACGATTCCATCGCTACGCTAATTACAGTGTAGAGCCCGTGCTCCTCATCCATCCGAGTCGAGCAACTCCACAAACTCGTGTCGAGTAACTCAACATTCCGTCCCTATTCCCCACATCCACATTAGGGAGACGGATGCACTACTACAGTGCACCAGACGTGTTGGAACAAACTGTGGCAAAGTGGCAGACCAGCACAACAAGAAACATCGTAAGACAAAATGACTCTACCAGCCGAAGAAGTCACCCAGGAAACCCCTATGCCAAAGCACAACACCGTACAGCATTTAAACAACATGTTACACCCCAAATTATTATGAAAGGCGCACAACAGCAATGGAATTTCGGAGAGGAACTTCCTAAAATCACGGAACAGAACTACATAAAATGAAAATCTGCTCTCACAAACATCCAAGTCGAGAGCGACCTACCTGACACTAGCCAACCAGGCTATTTACCCCAACGCAGGATACAAGCACATTCTACCTAAAGGAATTTACCAATTGCAACCGCATGATCGCCAGAAGTATCGAAAAAGATATCACAGATCTTCTTCCGGACGTCAATACTCATATAACCGCTTACCGTCATTGAAACGCTCGACGCAATTCTGGTAAGAGAATCAGAGGCTGTACCCGCCGTACTCGAGAAAGAGCCCAAGAGCATAAAGCAGGCAACAGACACCACGATACCTGAACAAATCCGAAAGGACCGCATACAATGCGGTCGGATGTTAACAGCAAAATATGCCCATATTAAAAACGATCAGACCACAGCAAAGTTTGTGGTAGATGGACCAAGGGATATTCATCAGTTCAAAGATTTATTTGGAGCCTTACTGATATTGGGACACCCAAATGCAATGGACGAACTTTACGAGAGACTACAAGACATTGAGGAAGAAAACAACAAGGCCGCCCCAACTCAAACGGACATCCCACAAGGTTCCAGTCAGGAGAGGGCTACAGAAACCGCCAAGAACACATGCAGAACCCTCGCCGAGCTCCGCGAAATTATAACGATCGCTGGCGCCACGATCGCCGCAGACGACACTGGAGCCGAAAGGCATATATGAACGTGCACCAACTGACACAAATTGCTCAAGTCATGGCTACCTTCAAACCTCCCCGCGGCGATCGTGGGGTACCAAGGCGCGTAGCAGGAAACCGAAGGGGACCGCAACGGTCCTCGCGTGCAACGGCCCGAAATCAACCGAGAAAGCAAACGATATCGACAACGCCCTCGACGAGGCCACAGCCAACGCAGTCGCCGACAGAATCAACTACCAGCCAGAGGACGTACAGAACAGTGAATGTAGGTAAGTCCTAGAATCAGCCGCGCCTCCCAAGCATGTCGACTATACCATACCCGAAATGTTGAAATGGAAAACACTGCTGACCACGTACACTACCACGTCCACATAAAAGAATCGCAATGGCTCAAGGAATATATTTCTCCGAATATTTCTTCGAATATACAGTCAGCAAAGTAGGGTTTGCTTAGCTTGCAAGTAAAATGCGATTAATGGGGAGACAATTAGATGTTACTATGTTTCTAGAAATGTCTCAAGCATCTCCCAGAAAACGTTAGACAAATAAGAAGCGCTTTTTCCTAAACATCACTTCAACTTCTCTCAATCCGGAAGGAAACGACTCATACCCCGACAAAATGCAGCTTGCGAGAAATGGAGTCACCTTAAACCGATTCCGCTCAGTGCAGGACTTTCTGGCTACCCTGCGATTTGAGAGAGCTGAGGGATGCGTTTGTATCTAACCGAAACAACGATAGACAGTCATGACATGAGAACTGATTAAAGTTGAATGAGAAACTTGTAGTAGAGGTGAGATTACGGCGCAACAGTTGTGCGGTAATTTTTTTCTGTTGAATATGTATATCCGCAAGGCCGCTGTCAGGAAGAGTGACGTGCGAGGGAGGTTTGTTCCCCGACGGCGAAGAAGTCCAATCTCAACCTGACGCTAACGTGCCACCTGACTGTAAAATTTCGTCAACGTCTACTCGCGAAGCCCCGCTCGTCATCGGATTTGAATTGTAGTAGGAAAGTACGAGAGAGAGATGGAATGGATGTATTAATCCCGTGCCTGTGTGTCGGTCAAGCATAAAACAAGTATTCCGCACATGTGCAACAAAATCTGCCTACACTTGTTCGTTTATTGAAACACGGCATGCAGAATATTGTGATGCAGTTGTCTCACATTACTCCAGGCGTAATCCCAGAATTGTCCAAAGCCGTGCTCAATGCAGTGACGAGGCAATAATCTGCTGGTTCCCATTTCACTCAGGTAACTCTAATTACCACCTCTTTACCCACGCCTCAATCAACCCTTGGCCTCAAGGCCCCCATCAATCAAAGCTTGTCCCCCTACTGATTGCAGCATTAAGCCAGATTAAAAAAAACGTTTACTTAGAAGGAAGAAGATGGTTGAGTGGTTTTCCTGGTAGCTCAATGGTCAACCCCCTACTGATTGCAGCATTAAGCCTCAACTCAACCCTTCCAGACCGCCCCGCTTGTAGTCTCCCGGCAAGGAATGCAGCGGTGGTTGAAGAATGGGGCGTCCGATGATATGTGGCTTGGACTGGCTGCAACAGTGGTGCTGGGTATCGGGTTTGGATGGCATTCTGTCTTCAAGGTGAAACACACGTGTATGAAGGTATCATGTTTAGCAGAGCTTGGGTGCATCCAGGAAATATCACTCCGCCACCTCGCCACTTCTCACCCAATCAGAGGTCGTGAAAAGTGGCGAATATTTGCCACTCCAGGCGTAGTGGAGGGACCCCCCCCCCTGGGGTGTCTCCACCTCGCTACTCGACCGTTTCCACTCCGCCACATTCGGCATGCATCGTCCTCGCCTCGCTGTTGCTGCTCTCGCAGCGTCTACAGCCGCATTTGTTGCGGTTCTGGCGACCCTCACAATTTTTAAAGGCTCCTCGCCGAAAAAGAAGGTCACGAACGGCACCAAAATACAAACTGGCTGCCCTCCTTCGCCCAGAGCGTCATGTGCAAACGAACGCCATGACACCCTGGGATGCCATTTTATCATGTGGCAGTGATGATTACTTTTTGGTATCTCTCAACTTTACAAAAGAATTGTTCCTCCATAAACTGCTGGTCCGCGCGTGAGCTTGAGCTGCTGGCGTGCTTGCGGGGGTGATCGGCGTGTGAGAAAAAGCTGCTGGCGTGTGAGAGAGGGCGACCTGCGTGTGTTCGAGGGCGTGCGATATGTGTGTCGCCGGACTGAGACCCGTACGGCCTCTTGGCTGAGGTCTCCGTGGAGTAGAGTCTGGGTCCATTGCGGCGGTAGCCGTGTCGTGGGGAAAGGAGTAGAGGCCGGGGAGAAGCGAGAGCGAAGAATGCGAATTTGAAGAAGAGATCAGCTTATTTGGGTTCGCTTGGGGATGGCAAAGCCGCTCGTTGGGGGATTTGTGCTGAGAAGGGGGGATTGCCGGTTCAAAAATTTACAGACTTCGCGGGAAGAGCAAAAAATGTTCAGCGAAACAAGAGTGGCGAAGTGGCAAAGTGGCGGACCAAATCTGCCTCCATTTCTTGATGCTCTATCATAAAGTAGCGAAGTGGCGGAGTGTTATTTCCTGGATGCACCCCTTGTTTCATACCACAGCACTGTAATGCATTTATCATACAAAACCCGGAGAACAGATCTCGTTGCGCCACCGCAACGCGGTTGTGTCATCAGCCCGGCACGGTATCCTTCTTCTCATCACCCTTAACACCATCGGCGCTCGGACCACAAGTTGTTCGCAAGAAACTTGTCCGCGAAAATGTATGTACCAGGCTTTGTTCCCGCTCTACCACTATGTTGTGGCAGTACTTTTACGCCTCCTCAAAAGCCAAGTTCCACATTCCGCAGCTGTGATGAGTCATGGTCATACCTTTCACCCCAGCAGCCATGTTCTGTCACAATGGGGAACAAGTCGCAGAAACCGAAAACAAAACCAGCCGCCAAACCGCAGGGATTCGGCATGCACCAGTTTCCTCGCTTCAAATTTACGGGAAAGCTGCGCCCGGGACGAGTAACACCAATGCGGGAGGTGCCCGAGGATATTCTGCGTCCAGATTATTGGAAGGATGGCCTTCCAAAAGCCCGTTCTCCACGTTTTCCATGGGAAATCACTGCTTTGACGGATGAGGAAGTCCAAAAGATGCGCGTGGCCAGTAGAATGGCTCGGGAGATTCTGGACATGGCAGGTAGAATGGTGCAGCCGGGTGTTCTCACCGAAGAGATTGATGAGGTTGTTCATGAAGAGATCATCAAACGGGGTGCCTATCCATCGCCTCTCAACTACAATAAGTTTCCGAAGAGTTGCTGCACTTCTATAAATGAAGTCGTTTGTCATGGTATTCCGGACGACACAACTCTTGTGGACGGCGATATCATCAACATTGATATCACTGTATTCTATGATGGATATCATGGCGACTGCTCGGAGACTTTTCTAGTCGGCAACGTCGATAGAAAAGGGCGACATTTGGTGAAAACAACCCACGAATGCCTTGAGCGCGCAATTGCAATTTGTAAACCTGGACTGGCAGTTAAACATATCGGTGGTGTCATCGAGGAACATGCAAAGAGCAGCGGGCTCACGGTTGTGCGTAATTTTTGCGGACATGGCGTCAATTCGGTGTTTCACACCACTCCAAATGTTTTGCATTACAAGAATAACGAGGCAGCTGGAATTCTGAAACCCAACGTTACATTCACAATTGAACCTATGGTAAATGAGGGTACGCCTCGAAACGTGACCTGGCCGGACGATTGGACTGCCACGACGTCCGACGGAAAGCGCAGCGCTCAGTTTGAACATACGCTGCTTGTCACGAAGGATGGGATTGAGAAGCTGACAGGCAAGATAGAGAGCAGCCCGAAATATTTTTGGGAAGAATAGGCTGCAGTCTTACTCGAGTATAAAAAGCCAAGAAGAACTGTTAGGCGGGCCATTCACAGACGCTTGTGAAGCTGTCGCGACTAACGAGAAGTCTGCTTCCGTTGGGGGTAGAGGTTGAGTCAATGAGGCGCTCTGAACACCGGCGACTATCTCTGCAGACTGGTACGTAGGTTTTGCCAGGTTGACTCTCACATCTTGTTTCGTTGTTCTAGTTTTCGCACCTGAAGTACTCGCAGTCGGCGTACTTTTTGCACTTATGTGGTTCTTTTGTGCTGCCGACGTAGTTTTTGTACGACGATGACGTCGCGGGTAGCCAGCCCTGATCCGTAAAAATGGCAAAAGCGGGGTGGTATGCTTAACGCCCAGGTGCCTTTGCGGGACACCCTTTTAACCTATGTAACTATTTGTTACTTTGAGGGATTCTGGGAACATACATTAGTTGCAGCAAACGCGGGACAAGTGTATCAAAAAAACAAAAGCTTGTTAAACGCGAGGACAAGTCACGAGGAAGGGCTCTTCACGCTGCTTGTGGCGTGATCTGAAAGGGGTCCAGAAGCAATCGGCGAGCCAGCTGTTGCGCATACAGGAGAGAGTTGATGGAAATAAGCGGGAGAAACGAGGTATTAGGGGTGGTTTACAATTCTATACACAAGAGTCCCGTAAGGCAGTGTTAGCAAACAAGACATCTGCTCTCAACGACCTTGACACTGCCCGACAGGGCGACGATCTGAGCCTCTGCTTCCCTGGTCATATTTTGGAGGGCGTCTCCATCTTTCCCTTCGGCCTCAACGTCCTTCAGTATGCCACTGACACTCGCCAGCAAGCCGACGGCCTTACCAATCTGCTGGCGCCCGCTGTCCACATGGACATAAGCTCGGGCGAGACAGATGACGGCCTCGGCTCGGTCAACTCCAGTGATAGTTTCTAAGCGCCGCAGTTTGGCGGGGTCGGAAGTGGCATTGTCGTGCGGGATTTGTAGGACGGGCTCGAGTGAAGCAATGCACTCGTTCGCGTAGCGATGCGGGGACACCTTCTTGGGCAATTTCTCTTTCGTGTCATTGGTGTCCCCTGCGTCATCACTAAGCAACTGACACAAGGCACCAGAAACCAAGCCTTTCACACGCAAAGCATCGATGTAGGCAGCGTCGGTGACGTCTCGCTCCTTAAACAAGTTGACAGCCTCATCAAGCGCCTCAAAGGCAGTATTCAAGTGCCCTCGTGCGTGGACAGGGACGGCTCGAGTACCCGGGACGGCCCCCTGTTGTGCAAGCACTAGACGACTGTACCAAGCCTTGCCTAGCTTAGACAGGAGGCGAGCGCGGGGCAGAGTTGCGTCGGGCACATGGCGGAGACGACGTTCGGCGAGGCGGTAGGAGATGATTGCGCGGTCGAGGTTGTCCAGGGCATGGCCGGCGAGACGGGCTGTGTAGGCGTCGCCCAGGGCCTCGAGCGAGGGGTTGTGCGGGGCGACGGGGGCTGCGGTGGTGCGCAGGCGGACCTCGATGGCGGCGAGCACGCGCTCGGATTCGAGAACGGCCGTGCGAGAGGGAGTACGGGAGGGGCGTGGCGTAGTCAGTTCGAGGGAGGACATTTGGGGGTGGAGGGGGGTGAAGGTGCGGGGGAGTGGCTCGAGAGGGGTGTCGCGGGAATGTGGGAGACGGGGGGGGGTTGGGTGTCGCGGGAGGGGTTGGTGGTGGTGGGTTAGATATGGGGAAGCGGAGGGGGTAGCGGGGACGGGATTTAAACACGTGGGGGGGGGCTGTTTGTAGAGTCAAACTTTGTACAGAGGATCAGAATTGGAGAGCTATTTTGGTGACGCACTGGCGAGGGGACGGGGCCCTTTTTTGGGGCGCTGTAGCGGGGCACAGCGGCGCTTATGTTTGAGGTGTTTTTGTGCGCAGTGCGGGAGAGCAACGGTGAGCTTCAAAAAGTAGTGCGCTATACTGTACGTGTCCACGCGCGCGGTGGGAGGGAGGGAGGGATTGGCGAGGCTCGGCGGGACGGAGAGACTGGGGGTACCCGCTGGCCGCATCTCTGGCGGTTGTTCTGCACACAGTACCGCAGTCGTTCGGCATCAAATCGCCGCCACATCGCTGCCGCCACATCGCCGACGCCACATCGCCGACGCCACAAAGCCGCGGCCACATCGCCGAGGCCACATCAGTGGCGGCGCCTACACGTGCACACACGCAGACGTTATGCTCTTGCGCGTGTGTCAGCGGCGCACATGGCCTTCTGACCTCTTAGAGGTACATTGTGGCTACCTGTACTGTAGTTGGCCGTGCACGCATGGCCCAAGCGTTTCTGAAAACGCCGCACAACTCTGTTTATTCAAAATATTTTCTCCGCTGCTCTAAACTCGCCCGCCAATTTAATCCAAATTCCTTTCCCCCCCTCCACAACCAAATCTAATTCCTGACACCTGCCCTTCCCTCCTCCCTCCCTCTCTCGCACTGGCTCTCTCTCGGACTAGCAAGCCCCCATCCAATGCCCTCTCAAGAGTACTGTAGCCTCGCCACAATCTTCGCCACAACACAAGCCAATCACCCCGTCCTCCTTACAGTGAACCCACCGCACGCCCAGTGCGGCCCACTTCATAACCGAAGCCACCGTTCCAGAGAGTAATTTACGGGAAATTCGAGACCATTTCCCGTACAAGTATTGGTTCCAGACCCCATCGACGCCAAGTAGCAAAACCCCCCTCATATCCAAAAAACTCTTTCTCGGACGGGGACCCGCTCCCTCTTCCCTCGCGTCTGGGACAACCTGTCCTTGACGGCTACTCCCATCGGCTACTAAACGCGCCCAGCAACGAGCAATCAACATCCTCTGCCCTCCATCCTGCAACAAATTAAAACTAACTACAGGTATCACTGCCACCTTTGCCACGGAAGTTCGTTTCTCCCTCATCTTCAACCCAAAGTCACCCTCACCTTCACCTTCCCTTCCTTTCCTTCACTTCACTCAATCCCATCTCCCACCATGGATTTCAACGAGCTAGAAGAAATGGACGGCGTGCGCTGGTCCTGGCTCACCTGGCCGTCCTCGCGTCTGGAAGCCACCCGCTGCATCGTCCCGTTCGGTTGCATGTACACCCCGCTCAAACATCTTTCCGCAAACCGTCTTCCGGCCCCTCTTCCCTACGATCCCGTCCAATGCAAGTCCTGCACTTCCGTCCTCAACCCTTACTGCCGCGTCGACCTCCGCTCGCGCATCTGGTTCTGCCCCTTTTGCTACCATCGCAACCCCCTCCCTCCAAACTATGCAGACATCTCCGAATCAAACCTCCCCGCAGAGCTCATCCCAGACTTCACTACCGTCGAATACACCCTCCACCGCCAGCCCGCCCCGCCCCCGATCTTCTTCTTCGTCCTCGACGTCTGCACCAGGGAGGATGAGCTGCAGACCGCCAAGGACTACATCATCAAAGCCCTCTCCCTTCTCCCGAAGGATGCCGTCGTCGGCCTCATCACCTTTGGTCAAAACATCCACGTCCACGTCATCGGTTACACCGAGTGCGCGAAATGCTACGTCCTGCGCGGCGAGAAAGAGTACACCCCCGACCAAATTAAGAACCTCCTCATGCTCGCCGGCGGCCCTCCACGCGGCGCCCCCCTCAACTCCGCTTCGCCGCCGGGTCCCAACCCGGCCACGGTCGGCGCCGCCCGCTTCCTCCAGCCCGTGTCCGAGGGCGAGTTCCTCATGACCTCGGTCCTGGAGGACCTCGAGACCGACCCGTGGCCCGTCCCGGAGAACGAGCGCCCAAAGCGCGCCCTCTGCACTGCCCTCTCCGTCGCCGTCGGCATTCTCGAGTCCACGTCTGCCGGCACTGGTGCACGCATCCAGCTCCTCGTCGGCGGCCCGGGCACCGTCGACCCGGGCAAGATTGTCGCCCTCGAGCTTGGCGATGCCGTTCGTTCCCACTCGGACATCGAGAAGGATAACGCCCCGTTTCATACCGCTGCTTTGAAGGCCTTTGATGACATCGCCGCTAGGGCCGTCAATGCTGGCCATGCCGTGGATGTCTGGGCTTGCTCGCTGGACCAGGTCGGCACGTATGAGATGAAGTCGTGTGTAGATCGCACCGGTGGCGTCTTTGTCGTGTCCGAATCGTTTGATCACCCGATGTTTAAGGAGACGTTTGAGAAGTTTTTTTCGACCGACGAATCAAACCAACTCCCCATGGCCTTTCAAGCTTCCTTTGAGATTATAGCATCGAGGGAGGTCAAGGTTGCCGGTGTGATCGGCCCAGTCGCCTCATTGAACAAGGAGTCCCCGTCGGTTTCCACAGAAATGGAAATCGGCATCGGAGGGACCACTGCGTGGCGAATGTGTACGTTGGACCCGCACACCACCCTCGCTGCCTACTTTGAGGTTGTCAATCCTCACCAAAACCCGATTCGCGACGACCAGTATCGCTACATTCAATTCATCACGCGGTATACGCATGCCACTGGGCAGCATCGCATGCGAGTGACGACAACCGCCGGACGGTGGACTTCTGGCGACAACATTCCTGAAATCGCAGCAGGCTTTGACCAGGATGCGGCGGCGGTACTCATGGCGAGAATGGCGGTTTACAAGACGGAGAACGAGGACTCGTTTGACATTCTGCGATGGGTCGACCGCATGCTCATTCGTCTCTGCGCCAAGTTTGCAGAGTATCAAAAGGATACTCCAGAGACATTTGCGCTGAGCCCCAATTTCAGTTTGTACCCACAGTTTATGTTCAATCTGCGACGATCCCAGTTTTTGCAAGTATTTAATTCGTCTCCAGATGAAACTGCCTACTTCAGGTCGTATCTCAATCGGGAAAATGTGAACAACTGCTTGCTCATGATTCAGCCGACATTGATGAGCTACTCCCTGTCAGGAGCACCAGAACCTGTGCTGCTTGATGTCACATCAATCAAACCGGATCGAATTCTACTTCTGGATACATTCTTTTACATCATTGTTTTCAACGGTGAAACGATCAGCTCATGGCGGAAGGCTGGCTACCATGAGGATGGAAAGCATAACAACTTAAAGCTTCTATTGCAAGCACCCAAGGACGATGCTGCCGCTGTATTGGATGAGCGTTTTCCGTACGCGCGATACATTGAATGTGATCAGAACGGTTCTCAAGCTCGCTTCTTGCTTGCCAAACTGAACCCCTCTGTCAATCATCACAGCGCAGCCGCTGAATATGGCGGATCTGACTTCATCTTCACGGATGATGTGAGCTTGGGGGTATTCATGGAACATTTGAAGAAATTGGCTGTGTCCAGCCAGTAGACCAGGCGAGGGAGCGGAAGGTGAGGGGGAAGGGAAGCAGAGCAACTGCGAGTTGATGCCCGGGGCTCGCAACTAATTTCTAAAGCATATATATGCCCATTCGAACTTGGGCCGCTGAGATAGACTTCAATACAATGTTACAAGGTATCGAAATGAATACTTCTCTTGCAGATTAGGGTCGCTTCTTTAAACAAGTTGGTTCCGTATCAGGCAAAGTCAACCAGCGGCTCCCTTTTTTTTAGTTAAGTTCTCCTACGCGCGTTGCAGCGCTCCACTTTAGCGCCCCCCACGACCCTTAAACTTTCGAACGCCTCGTCCGCCGCCTCCCATCATCCCAGGCATACCGCCCATACCGCCCATACCGCCCATGCCCCGGCCCATCCCACCCCCTCCTCCTCCACCACCGGCTTGTGCCTCACTCTTTGGGTTCTCCACAGTTTCATCTACTGATAAAATCATGCATGCCGCCTCAGAAGCAGCGCCAATTGCGTTAATCTTGACAACGGCAGGCTCCCAGACAAATGATTCCCATGTGTTGCAGATTCCTGCTTCTTCAATGTCAACACCATACCACTTGCCATCGGCGGTGGCGTGTTTGGCGCGCAACTTGTTCAAAACGTCTGTGGAATCGAATCCGGCGTTATCGCAGAGCGTGCGCGGAATCACTTCGAGTGATTTTGCAAACGCGAGAAGGATCAATTGCTCTTTGCCATGCACTTTCATAGCAAATTCGCGCAGGTGACGACTCAACTCCATTTCGACTGCACCACCTCCCGCAACAGCAGTTGCATGCTTGATCGTCCGGCGTGCAATCATTATCGAATCATGAAGGGATCGCTCTGTTTCCGCCATGAACTGCTCTGATCCTCCGCGAACGATAATTGTGGCTGTTTTGGCCTTTGCACATCCGGTGAACATGTTATACCGCTCATTACCAATTTGCACTTCCTCAAACCGATCACACGTGCCGAGAATCGTGTCATAGTCGGATTCGGCAACACTGTTCATCGTAGTCTGTACGACACCCCCGACAGCGCGGGATACGCGGTTCATATCCTCTGCCTGGACGCGGCCAGCGCAGAAAATATCGCGATCTGCGAAGTACTGCGTGGCAAGATCTCCGATGGCCAGGTTGGATAGCACGACCTTGGCTCCGGTGGCGACGATCTTGTCGAGCTTGTCGTAGATAATGTTCCATTCGGCATCGACAATAGCTTGATACTCCTTGGTCGACTGGACACGGACTTCAGCGTTCTCCTTCTCCGACTTCAACTCGAGTTCAATGTTGAGCATGATAACTTTGGGGTTCGTAAATTCCTTGGGCTGTTGCTCGAAACCGGCGTACGAAAACGTCTTCTTGAAAGCAACGCCCTTTACCAGCTGGGAATCGGTGGTAGATCCGCCCCGTACCTTTTTGATTCCGATCATGGACAAATCGAGATCTTCGTCGAGCGACAAGACCGCATCAGTGACGATGCTGGAGAAAAACTCCTTGTGATGAGCGATTAGCTTAGAGTTCAGTGAGGTTGACGCGCATCGCTGCAACAACCTCCTGGTATCCTTGGCATCCTTGCCATGAATGTCGACGGCAATCTCGCGCAAATGCTCGATGGCCAGGTCGGAAGCCTTCCGATAGGCGCGAATAATGGTGCGCGGATGCAAGCCGTCCTGGACATAATCCTTGCAGTTCTTGAGCATTTCTCCGGCCAGAAGGGCAACCGAGGTGGTGCCGTCGCCAACTTCCGCGTCCTGGGACTTCGCGATGTCGACTAAGGTGCGAGCAGCAGGATGGACAATGTTGAGCAGCTTCATAATGGTGGCGCCGTCGTTGGAGATGGTGACTTTGCCGCTGCCTTCGTCGATGAGCTTGTCGAGACCGCGCGGACCCAGTGTGGTGCGTAGGATTTCGACGATGACCTGGCAGGCGTTCATGTTGGATACTTTGGGTGGGAAATACGAAGCAGACGGGTCAGAACATTGCAACGGTGCGCGGCTCAATTGGGCATGGGCGGAAAGGGAGACGTACCGAGCTGACCGAGACCCTGGCTTGTATCGGTACCATCTTTGAGGAAGACGATTTGGGGCGCGAGAAACTGGCTCATGGCGGGTGTGGAAAGCCGGACGCGGAAGGCCGGACGTGGGCGCCAGGGGCTTAGGGGTTGGAACTACTTAGAGACGTGAAGCGAAGTGGGTGATGTGTGGATCGCAATAGAGACGTGACGGAGAGAAGAATGCGAATCCTACCCGACTGCACCGGGGGTTTACGAGAAAGAGGGGCAAAGGTAATTCGCCCGCCAAAATGATGCCTGGAGTGAGCGGATCACGCGTGTACTGTATGATGCCCCTCCACGGCGGCGACCACTTTTGATCCGTAGCCGGAAATAAATAAATTTCCCTTTCCTTCATCATACCATCCGTTTGTCATGATCTTTACATGGAAAGGAGTACGAGCAACATCGGCGCAAACGCCCCACCTCTTTCTCCAAACTCACCATGACCGCACGCGCCGAGACCATGGCGCTCTATCGCAGTTTTCTTCGCCTGCGACACGAGTTTCCAAGTAAGCAAGGCCGCTCGGTGCTCAAGCGCTGGACACAAATGTTCTTCTCGTTGCGCCAGGTCGAGTTTGACAAGATTAACTATGAAAAGGGCCCCGACGCGGCCAGGGAGCAGTCCAAGGAATGGCGCAAGGACGCTCACGATGACTTTCGTACGTTTCGACCACTTTCGCTCATATCCTACTCCATCAGTATCATTTTCGTCGTGCTGCTAACCACATAGCTCCTCGTTTACAGACCTGTGGACTCAGATCGCAGCCCTCAACGAATCTACGCGGCGGCGCATTCTAGACCGGGTGATCGCCTCTGACAAACAATAACATGCTTGCACGACTCACAGACCAAGACCAAACAACTAAAATAAGAAAACAATTTATCTTATTTTCAGACGTTGCTCCTCCTCAATCTGCTTTTTCGCAAACGTCGGAAACAAAACCTTCTTAGCGGCCTCATACGCGCCGAAGAAAACCGCTCCACCAATCGAGATCCACATCACTCTGGGCGTCAAGCCGGAGAAGAGCGCAGCCCCGCCTTCCTCCCTCGCAATCGTCCTCAACCCATGCACAATACCTCTATACTTGACAGCCCCCGCGCTCTGTGTCATCAACCTCGTCTTGACGACATCCAACGGCGTCGTCACCGCCGCCGACACGCCCCCCGCCATCGAACCGCACACGCTCGTCTGCCATGTTTCTAGCTGCTCCACGCCCGTGCGCTCTGCCCACGTCTTCTTGAGAAACTCGTACAGCGGAAACTGCATCGCATCAAACGGCAGCTCCCGCAGCACCAGGCTGCCGTACCCGCTGAAAAAGCCCGCCATCCCCTCCCGTGCCATCGTCCCTCGCACCGCCGCTCGCGCAGACGTGTACATCCCCGACTGCATGCGCTGCTTTACCACCTCGAACGGCACGCGCACCGTGCTGGACGCAATGTCGCCGGCCGCTGCCGCCGCCATGTGGCACAGTGGTGTGTACTTGGTGTCGACGCGCGTCGACAGCGTCCGCTTTACATACTCGTACATGGCGAAGAAAGCGGCGGCGGCCGGCGCCGACGCCGCCACGGCCGGCCCAAAGCCTGCGTACAAGCCCTTCAACATCGGGGTGGCCTTGATCGCTGACGTCGACGCTGACGTCGACGTGGCGGCTAGCTGCATGCGGGTCTTGAGCGTGTCCAGCGGGAAGAGAACGGCGTCAACAGTGAAGCCAGCGACCGCGCCGGAAAGCAACGAGATTTGGAAGGTGCGCGTCGCAGTGAGCTTGAGTGCGGACAGCGCGGGCCCGTCCGCGGTTGAGGCTATGAGATGCAAAGGGGGGCGGGAGTTTGCGCGCCGGCCGCACGCGGGGATATTGGGGACGCCCATCGCGGGTGGAAGGAGGCACGGTTTGGGGGTGATCGAACGGGGTAGGGAGGCGAGAGACGAGGAAGAGAGGCGAAAAGGGGTTGGGACGAGGAGATCAGATTTGTGTGCCACGCGGCCACGTGGTGGTACGTTTCTCAGACGGCATGTACTAACGTACAGCACCAAGGGTACTATAACTGAAAATCCTAATTCACGTCGTCACATCATCGCCCTGCCTCACTGCCTGTATGTACAACTGTGTTAACGAGCTTTCATTATACATACATTTCACCTTTCCCCCCCCCGCCCCCCCTCTTTAACGACCCTCCACCCTTCTTCGCAACCCCACCATCCACGACTGGGTGACCCCTTTATCCGTATCCCTGCATCATGCGTCTCCCACATCTCTTCCTCGCCTCCTTCCCCCTCGTCTTGGCCTACTCCCTTAACACAACGGCCCCATCCCTCTCCCGCCGCCGCCGCGTCGCAGATGAAGTCTCCCCGGACTACATGCCTCCGCCGTGGCTCGACACCCGCTCCATCTGTCACCCTGACCACTCCTCGGGCTCCGCCTCGTCTAACATATGCGACCCGTCCGGCCTTCTATCCCACCGCCACACCACATCGCTAGAAGACCTCCTCGCCCAAGTCCACGCGGGCCGCACTCCGTATTCCCTCGTCTCCTGCGACCAGTCATCTTCCCCGAACCCCGTCGGCTTCCGTCTCGCTCTCGCCCTAGTCCGTCGCATGAGCTACGACGGACGCACCCTCTCCGACCGCGCCGACAACTTTGCGCACCGTCTTTTCGATAGTTGGTCCCTCTCCGACAATTGCGGCGCCTCCGTCCTGCTCTTCTTCTCCCTAGAAGATAAGCGCCTCTTCATCCGCACGGGCTCACTCGCTACCACGTATTTCAATGAACATCAAATTGATAAAGTCTACGCCAAAATGATCCCGGAGCTCGAAAAGAACCGCGTCTACTCCGCCTTGCAAATCGGCCTTACCGAAATCGCACAGTACCTCTCCATGTACAACGGTGTCAGGGCGGGCGCCGTCGACACTGCTCCGCCCCGCCAGGGGGCCGCAGCCCCGCTGTTTTTTCGCTCGGGGCCGTCGTGGTGGGACCTCGAGCTCTCTATCGTGTTCCTCGTCTTCGCCTTCATGGCTGTCCTCGCCTGTTGCAACGGCTTTGGCGGTCGCGAAGCGACGCGCCGCAACAGGGAGCGACGACACGTCCTGCGCAAGCTCAACGTCATACGCCATGAGTACGTGGCCGCCATGCTGCCCCAGTACGTCCCGACCACGTGCCCGTTCTGTCATGACAACCTCGCACCGGCCTGGGAGCCTACCGTTCCAACGCTCCCGGATGCGGAGCCGCTGGAGAGTGAAGCGCCGCCCGCGCGGCCCGTGCGTAAGCTCCGCTGCGGGCATGCATTCCATGAGAGCTGCTTTGATGACGAACATCCCACCCCATCAGGCACCATCCCAGACTGTCCGGTATGCAAAGATCGCGGCGGTGGCGTATCTACCCCGCCGAATCTCAATGAAACGCGCGGGCAGGACTATACTTTTCGCATACGGAGCCTCGCCGATGCGTACCCGCACATTTTAACGGAGCAGGTCGTGGAGAAGCTCAACACCGAAACGCCCAACTTGTGGCCGGAATCAATGACGGAGGCGTATTTACGGGCGGAGAGAAGAGATACGCGCGCCAGGGATGTGGAGTTCGGGTCGGACAGAGGCGGGGGTGGTGGTGGGTGGTTTGGCGGATTCGGGGGCCTACTGGCGGCCGGCGGATTGGGGGCACTAATCGGGAGTATGTTCAGCGGAGGTGGTGCTGGTCGACAGGGTTACTACGCAGACATCCCTTCTGGGGGGTCGGGCAATCCGGGTGGGCAATGGTTTGGTGGTAGTAGCGGTAACTCTGGTGGCACGGGCTTCGGCACAGGTTGGGGCGGATGGAGCGGTGGAGGAGATGGAGATGGAGGTGGAGGCGGAGGTGGAGGCGGAGGTGGAGATTATGGTGGAGGTGATGGTGGTGGACACGGCACTGGGTGGTAGTACAGATCTCTGTTGCTCACGGTATTTCCCAACTGGAGTTCTTGAATAGGTCTTTCTTCCAGTTACTGAGTGTCGTCGAAAGGGGGCCTTGTGCGTCGCGCGTGCTGCTTCCTATACGATCAGGGAGCTGGGTAGCCGGCGCGGGGAAAGGGATGGTAAGGGAGAGTGAGAAAGAGGTGGGGTGATCCGGCGTTGCGCCTTTTCGAGTGAGAACGGGCTCCGGCGTGATGAGGCCTTCACAAACTGTAGCAGCGTGGGGCAGCTTTACAGTGCTACCATTAAGTATAAAGACACCTCAGAAAACTTCATTGCTGGGCCATTGTGAAAGCTTGTATAAAACAGGACACGTTGCTTTACTGTATTTGGCTCTCCGAAAACAATGCAAAAGACCGTTTTAAACGAACTCGATTGGCTGAGCTGCAATCATTAGTAACACTAAATATGGGTGCCATTAAGTATAAACGACAACACATCATTTTTAGTTACCGTAAGCTACAGTAAGCTGGCTACAATATCTACAGCTACTGTAGTCCGTCCGGTGCGACCGCCCTACTAGGGGGTATAAGATAAGCGGGCACCGTGCTGGAGGTAAACCGAGGCAAGCAAGCCTCCCCTTACTTCTACCCTAGTCCTTTCTCCGTACGGTTAAGTAAGACCTTCAGATTTCCAGCTCGCTACCGGTCGTACTGCTCTACACCCCAGTACGACTGCGAGTGTCCTGCGTAGTGTACCTCCATGGTCCAGTGCTTCCTACAGTTCCGAATTATTCTACCTGACGCTCCAGTGTAGCGGTCTCCCAGGCTCCCTTATTTTAGGTACAGCCTGTCCTTTTACGTTTACGGTTTAGCGTCCCTACGGTTGTACCACAACAATGATAAGCAAAGCCGTCTGATCTGTCGAGATTAAACTTCTTCTCGTCGGACCAGACGACATTCGCTCAGTCTGGAATGATCCACGTCACATGTGACCTTGCCTAGGCCTCTCCGGCCGTGCGATGGCGTCGAAGCATCATTAGTTCCCTCTGCAAGCGCTGGTAGCGCAACGTGGGAGTGCTGTTAAGAATAGGGCGCACTTACTTGCTTTCACGGCAGATTGAGAGCTTTAACGAGCTCACCGGAGCCCAGTTCACCCTTGTGAACTTCCCTTAGTAGCGCTCTTTTGCCCTAGATCGAAAGTTTTAGTGGTCTACCACCGCTTTGTTTCGTGCCATAGCGCTCTGGTGATTTCAAAACGTTGCCTACAGCGGTTCTCGAGCAACTGAGGCGCGCGGCGATGATGAGGATTGACATACCAGCCTTGTGGAGACCGGTAATTAGGCTGCGGTCCTCGGAAGTTAGAACTTTCCCGAGCGGCATGATTGGGATGTGTTGGTGGGCTTTGAAATTTTTTGCACTCACGAGAGCTTAGAGCATCTCCACGGGCGGAGCCTAAATCCTAAAATCGCCTGCCACATGTTTTACGTTTACTGGTCAGCCTAAATTCAATTTTTTGGGGCGATTCCCAAACGTTTTCTGCTCCACCGGTGATTGCTCATTTAGGAACACGCGATGCTTGCATCGCCAGAATAGTACCAACACGTGTGGTACACCTCACACGTGTTGTTGTTTCAAACAACCCAAAGAGAGAGGTCGGTATTTCTGATCGCGCTACCGCAGTGCAATTTCAGCTCCGCGTTGAAGCTAGACTCAAATGTCGTCGTCGGGGAGTGAGGAGGAAGTATTTATCGACAGGGCAGTCGCGACGTCTGCAGCAATCGCTAATCAACTTCTCCCACGATCGCAGGAACGAAAACATGGAGGATCCCTGCCCGGAAAAGCTCCAAACAGAAATGAGCTTTGACACCGCATAGCAGTTCAAATCGACCGAAACTACTTTTGTAGATTCACACAAGGCGTGCCTTTCTTTTCAGATGCGGAATTTGAACGCCGCTTTAGAATGTCACGAGCCGTGTACGAAGAAGTTAGAGATGCGGTCTTCCAAGCAGACGACTACTTCGTTCAAAGCCGAGATGCCACTGGCAAGTTGGGAGCTACCTCAGACCAAAAGATCATGTCAGCGCTTCGACAGCTTACGTGTGGAATATCCGCAGACGCTGTGACTGAAATAGTCGGGCTAATGGAGTCCAGCAACGCTGTATGCCTTAAGCGTTTCTGCGAGGCTATAGTTGATACATATGATGCAGAATGGTTGCGGTCACCGGATGAGCATGAGATTCAGGAGATTGAGGCTGCTTACAAGACACTGGGATTCTCAGGATGTATTGGCTGTCTCGACTGTGCCTCCTGGCAATGGGACAAGTGTCCGGTCGGATGGCAAGGAATGTACAAGGGAAAAGATAAGAAACCGGTCTGTCGGATGGAGGTAATATGTGATGACCGTTTGTATATTTGGCATGTCATGTTTGGAAGTCCGGGTTCTAAAAATGATATCAACATTATGCACCAAAGTCCAATGTTCAACTCTATCAGGACAGGGGCATGGCCCCCGATCAGACCCGAGACAGAGGTAGCTGGGATGAAACTGGATTGATATTATCACCTTACAGATGGGATTTACCCGCAGTATAGAATCTTTATGTCATCAATAAGTGAGCCAGTCACGAAGAAGGAGAAGCTATATTCTTCATACCAGGAGGGAACACGTAAGGCAGTCGAAAGAGTTTTCGGGGTTCTTTTTCAACGCTTTCGATTACTGTACCAACCCTCAAGACTTTGGTACAAAGAAGATATGAACTCGATCGTGAGAGCGTGCTGTATTTTACACAATAAGATTGTAAAGAGTAGACTTCATACGTACAACGGAACGGCAGCTTTGAGGTTTATGTAGCATAAACACCCCCAGACGACTGGAGGTGTATGCGCAGTTCGACCTGTAGACCCCGGATCGGAGAAGGGGTGAAGCGGGCCAACCAGCTACGGAACCGGGCTCGGGCCCGGGTAGCAGTGGTAGAGCGGGAGCGAGCAGGGACGCGCGCACGCACGAGCGGATCGACGCCTCGACGCCCCGGAGCAGCACTGGGTGACGTACCAGTGCTGACGGGCGGAGGCGGTTCCGTGCTCGCTCGCGTGCTACGCGTCCACTCCGGCTCGGCTCCGACTAAATGCGCGCGAAGAGCGAAGGCGACGTTTAGAATAAGCTGGGTCGACTGGCCTTGGCGGTCGGTTGAGGACAAGCCCGTGCTTGTCGCCCTACGCCGCCGACGGTCCGCTCCGTATTTAATATACAAAACAATCTATCATAACGCTACAGTACCGAGGTACTGTAGTGGGCTACTGTAGTGCAGGTCGGCCTGCACTGTAATACTGTAAGCTATGTCGAGGCTGACAGTACACGTATCACCCGTGGTGCGTGCGCGCTTCGTTTGCGCGCTGTACACGTGTGCACGTGTATGCGCATGTCCCTTGTCCCCGTGGTGTACACGTGGACACGCGCGGTGGTACTGTAGAGCTCGACGCTCTACAGTAACTGATCTAGTTCTTGATCTAATCTAATTTAAACCCCCAGGGGGGGGTTATACTACACCGCCCCCCCCTCAAGACTGAACGTCCGCGTTCAGTACTCTCGGGCTTGTAGAGGCGACCATGTCGGATCCCCTTCCTGTAGTCCTAGACTTGACCCGGGTTCCACCTGACCCGTCCCCCTCATCGCGCGTATTCCACCCCTCCGCCATCCACGCGGCCGCGCTTCCCCTGCACTGCCCTCCCCCTCGCCGCCCCCTCGCTCCCTCGCGAGTGGGGGATTCTCGTTCCTTTCTGTCTGGCCCTGGCCATTCTCGCCACACCACTGTGGTCGTCCCCCTATTCGTGGGGTGTCTCGCCGTCCGGGTCGGTATGCCGTCCTCCATCGCAGGTCCTACCTCCGCCCCCGTTGCCGGCGTACCGGAGCCCCCGTGCTCCTCGCCGCCTCCCTCTAGGGCCCTCGGGCCCTACCGGCCGTCCGTCGCGGGCTTCGTGCCCCCAGAGGGGCGTATCCCGAGGCAACCCGGCGCGGTCGTGCGCCTGTGGTCCACAGATCAGCCGTTCCAGAGGGTTCGCGGCTCCCGTGAGTCGACTTCGTCCGTCGAGATCGTTCCCGCCTCATGCGGTCGACCTGCCACCTCGTTGTTGCCTTCTGCCGACGAACCGGTGGCGCAGCGAGCCGGCTTGCTGCCTCAGGGGTCGGTGGGAGTGCAGTCGCCGCCGCCGCTTCGTACCGTACGGCCCGGCGAGGGCTCGGGTGGCACCCCTTCAGAGTGGTTCGGGGTCCCACTTGAACGATCGACGCCGCTCCCTCTCGACAGCCTGAAGTTCGCCTGGTGTCGTTATGCCCGCTCGGGGGTGACCGTCGGGGAATTGCTAGCGCGTGAGACCCTCCGCCCGGACTTGCTACGTGTACGCAAGGTCTATGAGGCGGGTCGGGGGGAGGAAGCCTCCCTCGTGTTGGGGCGTCTTCTCGCGGAGGGGGACGGGGCGGCCTACCAGATCCCTACTGCGATCGTCGGTGATCGCACCTTTGCTTATAGCTTGGCCGAGGTAGAGTACGTTGATCGAATGGCGGACTATCTTATTAACCGTGGGTCGTCGCCCTCTCGTGAGTTCGTCCTGTCCACGGTCGCGGGACTGTACGTAAGCCCCCGTCCCTTCGCCTACTGAAAAACACGCGTCGCCTTGCAGAAGTCAGCTTGTTCGCTCATGAGGCTACACCGCGTGGCCATTGCTCCCCACGATTGGGCAGCCTATAGGCACTCCGGAGAAGCGGACGGCCGCGTCTTCCGGTCGGCCGTCTTCGAGGACGGTCTCTTTCAAAGCTATTTTCCGTTACTCCCCACCGTGGTAGGGGAGGCACTACCCTCGTTGGGGGTGCATCCCCTACTTCCGTACGTCTTAAAACACTTCGGGGTGGCGTGTACTGATCCGACGCATCCCGCACACGCCGCCCTGATGTACAACGTAGAGAGGGAATGGGCATGGGCACTCGGCAACGCTTTCATGAACGAGGTATCGATCCATGGCCGGGTGTTC